CAGATTATTTGGGGTCAGCCCGGAATGTCAATTTACGCCACGTTGGTCTATCTCTAATTGTTTCTTCATCCACTCCACAGTCCAGCATATCTGTTTTTACACATTCAATCCATCTCTTCTTAGGTCTTCCTCTAACTCTATCTCCCTGTACTTTCATATTTAGTGCCTTTTTTGTTACATGTTCCTCATTCCTTCTCACCACATGTCCAAACCATGTCAGTCTGTGGCTTTTTATTTTTTCTGAAATAGATACTACCTTTAAACTTCCTCTGATGTAATCATTTCTAATCCTATCCATTCTTGTGCCCCCGCACATCCACCTCAGCATTCGCATCTCTGCCACATGCAATTGCTTCTCTTCGGTGGCTGTCATCGGCCAGCACTCGCACCCATACATAAGCACGGGTCTGATGACAGTTTTATATATTAGCCCTCTTATTTTAAATGGCATGCGTTTGTCACAAGTTATTCCTGTCACCTGTTTCCACTTTAACCACCCTGCATTGATCCTCCTAGTGACCTCCCTATCAATGTTGCCATCTTTCTGGAGCAGAGATCCCAGATATCGGAATTCAGTACTTTCTGGCAATGGTATTCCATTTACTTTTAACGAGACCGTCAAAATTACAGAATATATACTCCGTCTTGGTTTGGCTGATTTTTAGTCCCTCATTTTCCAGCACGTGTTGCCATTTGTTTAGCTGTCTCTGTAATTCTTCCCTGCCCTCATCAATAAGGACTATGTCATCTGCAAACGGCACACACCAGAATACGTCCTCTTGTACAGCAGATGTTATCACATCCATAACTAATAGGAAGAGGTATGGGCTGAGTGCTGACCCCTGATGTAAGCCCACTCTTACTTCGAACATGTCCGTCAATCCGGCTGCAGTTCTAACTTGCGTGCTGGCCCTATAGTACATATCTTCAATTGTTGCAATGTATTGAAGCGGCACACCTTTCTTCCTAAGGGACCACCAAAGGACTTCTCTCGGGACTCTGTCATATGCTAGTACTACAGAATCTGTAGTACTCCTCCCAGGCATAAATCCAATCTGGCCTTCAGTGACACTGGTTTCCTCTCTAATCCTCCGTTCAAAAAGTTTGAAATGACCTTTTCAAAAAGTTTTATTGTAGGAGCCAATAGTTTTATCCCCCTATAATTATTACATTCCTGCACATCCCCTTTTTCTTTAAAGATGGGTACTAAATAGCTTCTTCTCCATTCATTGGGTATAGTTCCCTCTAACAGTATTTTGTGTATATTCTAGTATATTCTGAACAGTAATAATAATAATGTAATCGCCAAAACTAAATATCCTTTACTTAGGAAAAGGAGAAGAGATACAGAAATAATATTCGCTTTCAATTCATGAATGGTGCACACAAGCACTTGTTACAGTGGGCACATTTTATAAATCTAGTTTAACCACACGCTACAGCGTCACAGACAAGACTGTCGCTTTCTGTAAACGTGAAGCATACTTTCTTGACGCAGAGAAATTTTTCTCTACTAGTCAGCCAGAAGAACATCATGAGTATGTCAGCAGATAATTGAATGTGCAAGAGAGATTGCAATTTGATAACGCCTTTGTAATTATTAACATTGTGTACCCGTTTTACTTTAAGGAATACCTCTAGGCCTTTAAGAATTCCTCTGACAGGTGTTTTAACTTCCGATGAAAAGTGGTGTCAACACCAGAGAATAGTTTTCTGTTACAGTTTTAAGAATAGTTTCTGTTGTATTGGCAGACCAAAGAATTTTGTATATGAATCTATATTTGTGTATCCGCCCCATAAATCTATCACAAAAGAAGGAAACTTTTCTTTATGTTTAAGACTGTCTTTCCAAAAAGAATTCATTCAGTGACTTACTCATTTTGCCTGATGTGCTATAAATGGCAATGACGTCAGAAGGCGCGAAAATACATCTCATCTTGCACTTTTGGCCCGAAGCTCCCTACGTTCTTGTAAGCATAAGAAAGCGTTGCCAACAATATTACCAGTCAATAACATACTGTACAGTGTAGCTCTGTGTTGCCAGATATTTTAGTGAGTAACCAAAAATTGATTTTTCACCTTTGAAGGTGCAAGTCCTTGTAAGCGGTATTTCGTATTGGAAACTACACTGGTCGATATTGAATACGGTCGTCTCAAAGTTCTCTGATATGGATTTTATGTCATCCCGAAAAGCTTTTGCTGCCCAAATAATATTCTCTGCTGACTGCAACGCTGATTTACTATTCATCCACGTTATTTTTCGACTACCATGTTTTAGTGACTCTTAAAACGGTGTAACCACGTATCGCTAAACTTTAAATAACTTAGTTTAAGTTAGCAACGTTAGATCAGCAATGAGTTTCTATACTGACTCAACTTTAGCTGGGCATCATTAAAAAATACACGCATTTTAAAACCGCTGGGGTACACCTATGTGTACCCCAGCGGTTTTTTAATGCGTGTATTTTTTAATGATGCCCAGCTGTACCCCGTGGGCCTAATCGAGAGCAGCGTTTCTCACCTTGTGGTCCGCACAGGGCTGTGGAGTCGCGTAAAAATCTACTGACTCCGACTTTTCCTTACCATCCGACTCCGACTCCGACCAGGGGCGGACTTGTTACCGAAAGAGACCTGGAAATTCTGAAGTCGTCACGTGACCTCAGAATAAACGATTCAATAAATAGAGTTCTAATAAAGATAGAACGTAGAAACTTTTTATTCCAAAGCTAAAAGACTCCTCTAAGTAATATGTAAATATGTATTCGATAATTTTTACTTTTTCCTCTGTTATATATAACAGATGGAAAGTGTAGCGCTCGGTCAAAAAATGACCCCTCCCAAATTTTTACAATTTTGGACTCAGGATACCTTGAAATTTTGAGATATGCAAAAAATTCGAGGTTTTTTCTATATGTGTGGATGTTATACTGTGTGTGTGGGGCATGATTTGTTCATCCCGTTTGAAGCCTAATAATTTGTGTGGTCTGAGTGGTTAGAATCGGAGTCAGATGGTTTAAGACAGGAATTAGTTATTGAGCGTCAAAGTGGTTGAACTAAATCGTGTCCCCATGCACATTCTAACATCTTAGGCGAGAACATCTTAACTGGTTTTACTGTACTATTATAAAATGCCAAAAAAGCTTACTTTGAGGGTAGAGACAAGTTTTATTTTTATTTTTTTAATTTTGAACGCTAATAACGAGTAAAATATTCATTAAGAGATATGACACATCACCACTTTTATCTCTTCACCCTGTCGATCTTTAATTAAGAACCAAACTTTAACAGTATTAATGCCCCTTTATACTCAAGCTACAGTGCCATATTTCGTTTCTTAAACTTTACCCATTCTGAGATATTGTTTAATATCTCAGAACAGAAAATAAAGAAATTAAACAAATTAGACGCCAACACACACGCGCGCGAATTTTTCCCCTTTTATTAACTTTTTTGAGGGGTTCGGATTTGCAAATAAAAAAAAAGTTGGCGAGTCAAATTTGACGCGATTCCAATTCTTTTCCGTTTTATATACATAACAAGTTGGGAAGTAAAAAGGAGTCGGAGTCGGCGGATTTTTTGACGACTCCGACTCCGGCTAAAACACCAAAACTCCACGACTCCGATTCCGACTCCACAGCCCTGGGTCTGCAGGCAGACTTAAATTAATAACGGTTAAAACTTTGTTCAATAATGATTAATTTTTAATAGTTTACTTGCAATTTAATTACTGTAATTATGTTTCCATATGTATTCAAAACATGCTTTTAGATTTATGTAAATGGCACAGTATGTCCGCAATGTCCACATCGGTTTAAAAAAACAACAAGCAATTATTTATTGTGACATAGTCACAACGCCGGGCTACAATTTTAATCTCGTCTTTCATCTATTTAACTCCTTTCTCGGGATTAAGGAAAGACAGACAGACAACAGTGGGAATTTATAGGTCTACAATTTTTCTCAATTAGACTGCCATAACTTAGTGGTCCATAGAATTTTTTCAGACAATTACTGTTTACTGTTCCTTGGACTTAAAAGGTTGAGAAACACTGTCTTAGCTCATCCACCTATCCATTATTTATTGTCTTGAATCAAACTTCAGCCTGTATTGTCACATTATTTTTTCAGGTTATATTGATGTTAAATTTTAATTAATTAAATATCCAAATTTGGTCTAAAGTTGTGCGATTAATCTCATTTTTGTGTAAAACTTAATAATTAATTTATCATTAATCTTTTTATGAGTTTATAAATTTTTTAATTAATTAAATAATTTTTAAACGTGTGAAAGAAAAGAGCGACCCGAAAAGAACTTGAATTTCCTCTTCGGGAAAATATTGTAATCAGCCTAATTTTGGCTAATGTTTTAATATATTCTTATATATAATGTTATATTATATTTAAGAATATGCAGTATGGGAAATTCCTATGGGAGAGCATTTATGTTACATTAAATTGTCTATTCCATGTTTTCCCGAATATAATTTGTTTGTATTAAAATCTCAGGGGAGAAATGATTATTTTTAATTATTTGATTAATTCCGAAAAGATGAATTATTATTTAACTGCAACTTAAATTAGTAAGTCTTCTCTAAATACGAATTAAAATATTAGCAAAATAATTGTATAAAATTTTATATTTTATAACAACGTTTTAAGTTATTAAAATTTCATAATATGCCAAATTTCATTGAATAAAACGTTAATCGTTTAAATTTAATATTAATTGTAATTTTGACTGATAAGAACATTTTGATATTGATATACAAAATAATTGATATTATGTTTTTACAGAAAGTAAAACAACACGTTTCTAGAGTGAGTAAATTAATCCATAGTCTTATTAAAATGATTTACTTATATGTAAATATTTAATTACAGATGAACATGCAAGTAATACATCCAAGTACTTGCGAACAAAGAATATTACAGTGTAAATATAATCTAATATTTTCTTATCAATAATATTTTAATATCGAAATAAGGATTATTAAAAATAGTCATACTATTTGTTATGCAATGCTTTACGTCCTTTGATTTATTGTATTTTCTCTTCTATATTGATAGAAGAGAAAATATAATAACAATTTGGCCACTAATAAGGTTTATCACACCACAATATGCATTTGTCCAGATTACAACGTCTTTATTCTTTTTAATTAACTCCAAAATGTACAGTTCGGGTCTTTCGATCCCTCTTCAGTTGGTTTTTATGAAAGTTGTATGCTCCAACAGAAGATGGCTCAAAAGATCTGAAACATTTTGAAGTTAATTAAAAAAATAAAGAAGTTCTAATCTGGTCACATTTTGATTGGGGTGTGATAAGTCCTTATTAATAGCCAAATTGGTAGCTATATTGATAATAGTCAAACTATCTTATCATCTTTGTTTCGGATCCAAACAAATTTGAAAAGAAATAAAAATCTATTAAGTACATTTTAAAATTATTCTGAAAATAAAATAATTTATTTTAAACGTTAATATGAATTTCTAATAAAGTAGATAATTAATATCTTTATAATTATTTAATTCTTTAAACGCCAAAACTTTTTAAACAAAAGTTGTATTACATATTTCAGATATTTAAATCAAACAACAAAACCATAGACTATATTAGAAGAAATGAATATTTCCAGAAAATGAAAAGAATATATTAGTGATATAATTTTTAATAGATTTCTCATTAAATATGTAACAATTTTTTACTTTATTTCTTGATAAAGTTCCAATATTCAAAATATGTCTATGTAATGATAATTTGTTCAAAGTACAACTTTATATTGAGGTGGAGAAACAAGATGGAATTTAATTTAAAATTTATACATAAAACTAAATATAGAGTACTGTATACATAGAAATTATAAGTCGGTAAAAAAGTATAAAATAAGTTCGTATAAATAAAAGTATATACGTATAATAATATTATTATTATTGTATAAAGAAAATAAAGTCTAATAATAATAATAATAATAACAATAACAATAACTTAGACTTTATTTACGAGACCTCTGCTCCACAAAACACTGCAGAGGTTACAGTACACTATGTTACAAATAATGTCAAGAACCGTACTATTTACATCTGGTTATGACGCGATTATATTCAGTTTATTTACTACAATCTTATTTACTAAAACAAGCAACAGGTTATAATAGTGTACAAAACGTATATAAAGGTGTTTATCGAAAGCAACATATTTCTGAAATTATTTCTAAGAGTATTGTACATTTAAACAGTATAAAATGATATTATATACCGTATTACATATTCGCTTAAAACAATGTCCTAAAATAGTTTAGTTATTTACCAGTGATGTGCCGTCATTTGTATTTGTATTTTCTAAATATAAATACATATTGCGCCATTATATAATAACCATCTTATATTGCGCCAAATACATATTCCATCCATACATATTATGCCTTGTATTTTCTAAATATAAATGCATATCGCGCGATTATTTTCGTATTTTAACGTACTTTGAATTAATTAAAATTAATATTTTATTATAACCGCATTATGTATCTTATTACAAATTTCCATACTACATGTGAAAAAAATGATAAGATTGCTATTGTATATTCGATTATCAGCGGCGGAATGGAAACACTGTCTTGTCGAAACNCGTATTTTAACGTACTTTGAATTAATTAAAATTAATATTTTATTATAACCGCATTATGTATCTTATTACAAATTTCCATACTACATGTGAAAAAAAATGATAAGATTGCTATTGTATATTCGATTATCAGCGGCGGAATGGAAACACTGTCTTGTCGAAACCCGGTCAGCTTCCGCAGCCAGATTATACGCATTCGCGCATGCGCTTTACAGAGTACCAACCTCACCCGGTTTAGCTGGTGGAAGCTACACACCAAAACGCTTCCAAGACGTTCGGCAAAATTTTAAATCATCAAAATGTTAAACGTTCTATAATTTTCTATTAAATCTCAAAACCTTATACATTTTAAAATTATGTTTTGTTATAAATTCTTCTGCCATAGCTGGATGATCCCTACCCTTAGTAACCATTACTGCTACCTCTCTAGCACCTGGTGATAACCATTCTACTAACACTAAAAACTACTAAGAATTAACATACAAACAGATCTTTTCGGCTCTAAATTTAAATTACAAGTACAGTATTCATATACCACGTAAATCTTATGAGCCCTCACAAGGGACTAGTTTAAAAAACATTATGAGCCCTTTATGGGACAAACACACTTTCCACTTTATACATGCCGGCCCCTTAGTGCTTAAGGCGGGAAGGGGCCTTAGTTTATTTAATTCTTTAAACGCCAAAACTTTTTAAACAAAAGTTGTATTACATATTTCAGATATTTAAATCAAACGGGAAGGGGCCTTAGGGGCCTAGTAATTTCAGTCCAAAACTGGTCGCGGAAAAGAAAAGTATATCAAGTGATGTCCTTAGTAATTGGAAATAAGAGCCTTGTAGTTGCACCTAAGTTCTCTTCCTCCCACATCCCTTGCCACAAGCAGTGGTTATGTGCAGTTAGCTGCGATTTAATTGTTTACTAGAAAGTGCACTGTAGGTGTTATTTCCCAGTTCGTTGTTAGTTGCCTTCTTCGCAAGGACATCTGCTCTCTCATTAGCAAGGAGACGCTGCCTTATCCAAATCAAGGCATATTGGTTGTTGCTGTTTTTGATTGCCCAATTAATTATTTTGGCAATTGAATGAGTGTTGTTAGGGTTGTTAAAGATGAGAGTAGAAATTGCAGCATTTGTATAGATATTTACTCTTTTAGAGGAGTTTGAATGACCCGCATAATGGCACACAATTTTGCCTGTAAAACCGTACACTCCTGACCCAGGTGCATCTGCATGCATTCCACTTTTTCATTGCCAGTGTATACTATACGTATAATAAATAGGGGAAACCGGGGCAAGATCGGCATGTTAAGCTTTACTTAAATTTTGTGTAATAAATACTGCTGTAAACTGAAAAAAAAGCTTTGCATATTGTCTATTGGAATGTTACCTTACTATAGAACTGGTTAAAATCAGTTTGGAAATAAAAATAATTAAAATAATTACAACTTTACAAGAAGAGAGAAATTAACGAAGTTGCCCCGGGTATAGGGGCAAGATCGGCAACTTCTCTCTTCTTGTAAAGTTGTAATTATTTTAATTATTTTTATTAAAGTTGCCCCTGATATAGGGGCAACAGTAATGGGGCAAGATAGGCACGTATATAAAATTATGTTATTAACAATGTATAAGTTGGAATTCACTATTAAAACAAAGAAATAGAAATCCAACACCCATTTAATATTATTACAACGAAATGCAAGTTGAAAGACATATATACATGAATAACAAATGCAAACATGTTTTCATTTATCATCAGTTTGATTTTTATCCTTTGCTTCTAATGTGACTTTATGTTGCCGATCTTACCCCGCTAATCATGATTTCGAAACATTAAGTACAACCCTGAGAACAGAATGCCAAGCCATGATCTGGCCACGTGAATAAGTTGAAGTTACATTCTTCTAACAGGAAAAGTAACTTTCGTTATCATGGAATTATAACAAAACATGCTAATTCTATATAAATGGAAGCAAAATATTATATGGAATTGAACGAAAATGAAAATTTGCTTATTAATTCAACTACGCTTGTTGGAGAACAATAAAAACACTACACTCAACAAGCCACCAATAAAACTCAACTGCCTAACCTATAACCAAAGTCTCCTTTTAATTTGTTTTTGAAAAAAAGCGCTTGACAAACTTGCCCCGCATGCCGAAGTTGCCCCGGTCTCCCCTATATATACCTGTATATATATATAATATATTAAGAAAAAATAGTAGAGTTATAACATCCAGTGAGGCTTATAAATTACAGAGAAACAAAATCAAAAGCCGTGCTGGACATTATTTTATATATACTTTATATTTTTATATTCCACATTAATAAATTTTATGAACTATCGTGAATGGCTTTATTATTATTATCGATTCTCCAATAGACTTATCCCATTTTCTTTACTTTTTTATAGTCTTAGTTATTCATTTCTAACGAACATCCACGTATGGATAAGTTGCTCTTTATACTTCTAGATTTCATAAAAATTTTGCTTATCTGCGAATCGGAATTTAGAGAATGCTTTGGAACCTTCAGCTTCTTTTCCTCATCTTCATGCTGGATGAGTTTGCTGATATCATTTTACATCAAACTAATCTGTTGACGTCATATGTCATTGTAAGTTCTTAATTTTTTGCATTTTATGAAAAACATTTTTTTTTCTTTCTTTTGAGTCTGCATCTCATATGTAAGCGGGAGAACTTTTTATCGAACAGCTAGAAAAATTATGATTTTAGATAAAGCGAATATTAGATTAGGACTAGATAAATTTAATATTTTGCATTTTGTGTGAAAAATTGAAATACAAGGTCTGTTCAAAAAGTATCGGACCTTTAGTCGGCAAAAATAAATTTATTGACTTTGAGGTACAAAACCCTAATCCCCTTCAAAGTAGTCTCCTTGGTAATGTATACACTTCTCCCAGCGTTCCTGCCATTGCTGGAAACACTGCTGGAACGCATCTTTTGGAATGGTTATCAGCCGGTCCGTCGCATTTCGCACGATGTCTTCTCTCGACTAAATTTGGGTTCCTTTTAGCGGCATTTTCAGCTTGGGAAATAGCCAAAGGTCACACGGAGCCATGTGGAGAGAGTACGGAGCGTGACGAATGACAGGAGTATTGTGTTTGGCGACGAAAGTCCGAATCAGATGCGCAGAATGGGCGGATGCATTATCACGATGGAGCTGCCAAGTTTTGATCGACCACAGATCCGGTCGTTTGCGTCGCACTGTATCGGAAAGACGACGAAGGACCTCCTGGTAGTACTCCTTTGCGATGGTTTGGCCTTGTGGTGCGTACTCACGACACACCACCACCCCACGAAAGTCGAAAAAACTGTCAACATGACCTTTGATATTGCTGCGGACCTGCCGCGCTTTTTTTGGCCTCGAGGATCGTCCCCGAAAGCCTGCTGAATCTTGCGAATGGTTTACACTCGGGTATCGCCAAGGTTTTTGGCAAAATTTGATGTAATATCGCTGCTCACGTTGTTCAGTCATTTTCCAGCTTAGTGGAATCCGACGAGAGCGCACTACATGACCTCACTCATAGGCCAATTGCCAACGACTGACGCTTCCTGCAGGCGGGAAAAAATCCAGGGCTGTGCATGGCTGTCCCCTCCACAACTCCACCGAAGGAGGCCTTTCTCGCATCATTGGTTTACGCGGAAGAAAAAAAGGTCCGATACTTTTTGAACAGACCTTGTATTAATGAAAACTATTAATGATTTTTAGAAAAATTACATATCATTGTCAACATTTTGCTTTTTCACAAATATATCATGATAACTCTACGTGCCTAGCCGAGAGATCATCATTTCAATATTATTCTCATTATATAATGTATTAGCAGATTATGTTGTCTCGGATTCTTATTCAATTTTGATAAAAATGATAATTGTAGGATATTGGAGTGGCTACATTCTGATTGTTTCAAGATGATTGTAAATAATTGATTGTTCTGTATTTCAAGATTCTATTGAAGAATACGTCTCATTTAGATTGTCTTATTCTCTATAAAATAACACAGTTGCTGATCATAAAGCTTAAAAAAGTTATTGGACAACCTATTTCTATAATATTAATCTTATGAAATTCATGCTTTCAATATTTGCAGTGTTTCACCATATTTTTTAGGAATTAATACATCCAGATTATATCAAATGACTTTTGATGTCT